CTGAAGTCTTTGTTCACTGCAAAGTAGGGACGCACTGATATATCGGCCGATATTCGCCTTGTTGCCTGACATTGGACTACCAGCAAATAAGATTGTATTCATCAGTGTTTATCTGTTGCTAAATGATGTGTTGGACATGTTGGATGAGAAGAGAAATAGACTGAGCTGCAACCATGTCTCTTATCTTTGTAGATTTATTTGTTTCGCTGGGACAAAATGTTGAATAAAGAACAACAAAAGACATCGGAATCGGCATCCGCTATTGGCCAAATTGTTATTTTAAACATTGAATAAGAATCGGCCCAGAATTTCCCAATCGGTGCATCCCTCCTGGAAAGGTCAGTTTGAAGAGGATCTATTCCAAAAAGTAAACTGTCTAATAGTGAGTTTAATGTGATACATTATAGCACTTAGAAACCCTTTTACGTTTTTAAATTGTTCTCTTTCTTCAATTTACTGGTTCCAGTTTCTCAAATGTAAATATTTTCAAGTCTTCTCCCTCCTTTAAGTACTTTTGGGTTTTGGTTGGTTAAACTAATGAAACAGTTTGTCAGCTTTGGCTTTGGGAACTTTTGTAAACTATTTCTGACAATCTACAGATGAACATATAAATCTATGATGAAAATTATTGTTAGTTACATCTCTATACTGAAGCATGCACAACTAAAAGAGCAATGCACTTGTTTCAGGACACTGGATGCACCTCAGTTAAATTCAATTTGGCATGCAACCTGTGGCAGAGCAGCATTAGAAACAGCATTTCAGTTTGCCACAACAGGAAATCTTCACTCAGGATATATAGCCTACAGTTGTAATTAAGAGATTATTGACACACAAAATGTTTATGGATCTGCTTATGGCTCGTTCTAGTGGGGTGGAAGTGAAAAACACACATTTAATGACCCTTTACTTTGCATGGGGGAAATAGATTCTCATATGGGATAATGGGGGTGAAAGTAAACCAACACTCAGCCTGCAGTGCACTTGCCACTGCAGGCCTCGCTGACAGTGATCTTACCGAAGTTTCCAGCAGCAGCAGTGTGTGTTTCAGCAGTGTGTGTGAGCAGGATGTTCCTCTGTGATGGTGATAAACTCTCGCTGGAGTATGAAGTTGAAGTTGCACTGTTTTCCATGTGGTTGAGTCCTTCTGTGGCGCTCGAATAATAAAATCCTGCCGTTCCCGAATCGGTGCTGTCGTTACTGGGGGTCCTTGCCCCGAGGGGCCCCGGTAGACCCAGCAGGAGGACCGACAGACACAAACCGAGGACGTGATTCAAAAACCACGTTTCCATGATTTCCAAGACCCCAAAACGGTCGCCGATAGTTTCCGAAAAGTCGAGTAGAGGCCGGGGAGTCTCCCGGGGACACCATGGGAGGAGCGCGGCGGCAATTAGTGAAGTTTCATAAGAATCAAATAAATCCTGGTACAGGTCCGGAGGAGGTCCGCTGCTCGGACGGCGGGGAACGGAAGATAACAGAACCGAGGCAGCAGCCTGTTATCACAGCGGAGGAGCCCGGGCTCCTCCTCCTCCTCCTCCTGCACACACACACACACACACACACACACACACACACTGTGGTGGTTTTCACTCTGTCCTGTTGTTCAACCCTGTGGCTGCTCTGCTGCCTTCAGGTGTTGTCGGAAGTCCGGCAGTTAAAAAAAAAAATGGAACTGTTCCTTTTTCAGCAAAGGGCGACTGGTGCTTCAGGAAGTTGAAGTTTTTAGTTAAACACACCACACAATGCTCTGGGTCATATGACAACTCATTAGTGCCATTAAGAAAAGAGTTAAATTAGGAATCATATAGGCACATGTTTAATTCCAATGAGTGATCACAATAATGACATACTAACTCTTCTTTATGTGTCCTATTATTAAAATCATATTAACCCTCTATGGCATGGTGTTGCCCTCAGGCAACAAACCACTATTTTGGCCCACACACCCCCCCTTTAAATTTTAAAAAATAACTAATCAAATTAAAAGCTTGATGATAAGTCTGTGACCAATGAAATTTGAGGTGGGCTTGGGTTTGACCATTTGTCTGTGGTGGGAACAGTCCTTTTTGGAACCATCGCAGGCTTGGACACACTGCTAGCAGAAGGTAAGATAAATTTCACTTTTTAACATGTTTAAATTTGAATAAGTTTGTATAAATAATATCTGTGATGTACATGAATATGTGAAGAAGCATATTTGATTGAGTAAAGACACTTTTTGTCTTTATTTATATAGTAAAATTGTAGTTTTTCCTTCGTTGCCTCAGGGCAACATTGCGCAGTTAGACCACTTTTGTTTGAACAAAAACATTCTCATGGATGGAGTGCAGGGATGCATAGTTATCACCATGATCCGTTTTTTTGCTTTACTATCTACTATTACTCACAGGAAATGTATGCACAAACATTTTATGGGTGTAAGGAAGTTGATCGAGCAGTTAGGCTTATTCCTTCTGACAGTGAGGACAGTGAGCTTGAGGAGAGTGACAGTGAGGAAGAGTGGACCCAAGAATCAGGTTTGAGGGAGAATAAGGAGATCAGAATTCAGTCAGTAGAGTAACATACTGTATGTAATGAACATGCATGTGCATGCGTGTGTGTTTGTGTGTGTGTGTGTATGGGTGAAGAGAGGTATATGACCTATTCTAATTTTAATCTTCCCTTTTGGAACAGATGGCCTATCTGATGACAATGAGTCTGTGGATGAAGAGGAAAGATGAAGTTGATGATGATGCATCACAGGAAGATGTTCCACACTTACCCCGGTGGAGAACACCCCACAGTGCCAACATCACTGATTACCCAGAATGTCATCCTTCCTGATTAGTACATGTCTCACTATTGGTCTTTATTTTGGGCAGAGACGGTTTCTTTGTAAATAATTCTGCAATGACCACTGTCCACACTCTGCCAATCACCTCCAAGGCTTGAGGTACTAACATTTAATCCAAAAGGGCAAAGGGTGCACTTACTTACAGTGGGTGCATCATTTTATGATTGATATATTATCAGGGACCCCCAAGCTAAAAATAAAAAAATCATGCCATAGAGGGTTAATACATTTTAAAGCCATAATCTAGATTCTCTGGGCCATTACTATGAGAATTTTTATTTATTTATCATTTATAACTGTTTTAACAACTCATTTGTTGTTCTGGTATGAATGAGCTCCTCCAGTACAATAAATACGCAAAACAGGGTGCAAACGGCAGCTAAAAAAAGCTTTTAAACGCTCATACTCCTTAACAAGAAAGGCTCTACTAATTCTATGATACAGTTAAATGTGATGGAGACACCAAGTGCCATACCTCATGAATTTAGTCTCAATAAAATGGTAAAGCACCTTAACAAATATTATTGAGGCTACAACAGTCAATGTTAATGGAGAGAAAAAATAAATCAATCTAAGATATACATCTCCACCTGATTCTACTTCAAAAGCATCCCAGCTTCCATCTTTTGTAGTCAGACTGATCTACAGCCCAGACTGTTTATAGGATGTGTTCTGGCTGGGTTCAGTAAAAAAAAAAAAAAAAAGCTGTTGCTGTGCCAAGATAAGGTTTATGGGTGACATGACAGAAACATCATTTACTGGGTGACAAAATAACTCTCAGTGTAAGCAAACAAGAAAAACCTTAATTCACAAAAAAGGCTTTTAGGCTTTCAAGCTAAAAAAAAATTACAGATAAATTATATATAGACTAATATATAAGGAAGAGATGGTTGGTGAAACTGTACTTGTACTTGTATTACTGTAACACACTGTAATTTGAGAACAGTTGCCTGTAATGTTCAGATCACACTTGCAATTTTGCTGTTACTATTTCTATCCTTTATGACATAAAGCAGCAATATCTGTGTGTCAATGACTGTATGTTGTTCAGGCTTGACCCTAAAGTGTCTTTCATTGACACTACTGACAATTCAAGGCATCATCCATTTTTTTTCATTGTGCACAGTCCCTTTCTTCAGCCCACCCATCTGAAACCATTTTCTCAGTACTGATCGAGTCATCCAGACATCAGTCGATGAGGAAACACAGTACATGTATCTTTACAGATTGTCATGTTCCTTTTGCAGCTCCGACAATAAGATGCTGAGAGGAAGTGGTTTCGCAGCTTTGTGCTTGAGTTCCTAGAACAATGACTTTTAAAGTCTGCAATGCAAGCAATTCACCCAAATAACACAACCTTATGTACTGAAATATATTCACGTTTTAAAATGAATCAAATACAGTCTTCAAATCATTTCTTATTCCTTCTTTGCTGATCCGACCTTCTTTCTCGTGTATTAATATCTTAATCAAAATAAATGTTTTTAACACAGCCAGGAACAACAATAGGAATCTGGTTGTAATTTTTAACATTAGAGTGGTTCAGATTCATGTTTGATCAATTTAAACACATTTTGGTTTTGATTCAACCTGCTTTAAGGCTTCTATTTGAATACATGGCATCTTTTCCTTTGTTCATTTTCATCTGACACAACTAGTCTGATTTGGATAAAATCTGAAGAATGAATGTTTGCCATTGCGTTCAAGTGCTTAAATATTTACATCAGTCTGATGGGCGTCACAATAAAATGAGATTTGTTTTATTAGTAGGCTGTTGATCATCTTCAGCTACAGTAAATTTACTATTTTTGCCTTAATCACTTTCGCTATTTTGCTTTAAACCAGCTGGATCTAATAGCTTATTTCACCTCCTGATCTTGGTTTTATATTCTGTTCTTGTAAAATATTGTATTATTATATACTATACTATATTATACTATATTATATTATGTAAGTACATTTTCTTATGTAAAAGTCATATTTTCATTGCATTTTGGGTTTTTGAATTAGATGCCAGCAACAAATATGGAAATTCTTTGTTATTTCTAAATTATTGTATGTCTGCAAGAACACCAAGACCTGAATGCAACTGACAACTAGGAAAAGTATACTCAAAACAACCTGGGGAATATTTTTCAGTGAACAATAAACTGTATACATGCAGAAGTGAACTAACAAATTTTAATTAAACCTTTGTGTCACATGTACACAGAATATTTAAGCTACATGAGCACCATGGTGACTGGACTTCTTGGAAGTTACCCAGCAGTATAGTAATCTGACAGCAAAACAGTGAAGAATTTTAAAGATAGCGATAATTCAGTCAAAGTTAAAGCCATGAAGTAGAAGACAAAATAAACTAGGTTTACTTTTATGGAAAACTCAACCACCTCCAGCTTTCTCCAGTCCACAAATATATCTTTCGTTTTCTCTCACACCAACACATTTAGCGCAACTCTAGAAGAAACTCAGATTTCCTCCCTGAGCCACTGAACGTCTCTATAATACAATATGTGTGCAGAATGTGGCCCACAGGGCTACATGAGGCGCAGTTTGAGGCAGAAAATGTGGTTTCAGGCTGACATATATGACATGTAACAGAGGCAGTGTTTGAGTCAGTCAGTGAAGCGGTGGTTGCACCATCTTGTCGGCCCTGATGAATGAGGATTGGTGAAAGCGGTGACGAGAGGCAAAGTCAGCATTTTCCTCCGTCAGCTGCTTGGTTTTCATCCCGACCCCAGACAGAGAGGGTGTGACTACAATCTCGTCCCGAGGAGATCCTTCCCTCCTGAAAGAAAAAGAGATCGGTTTCAGGTGACAGACATATTTACAGATAAAATGTTTTATTTTGCACTGACTTTGTAATACAAGAACCAATAGATTATGACAAGTATGCAAAAAATTAACTCAGTTTCAGTCTATGCTGGACAGATAATTTAACTAAGAAATGTCTTCGGTGGATGACATCTCTTACCTATCTGTCACCCATTCTTATAAACTGACTGACTATAGCAATCACACAATACCTGAAAATGCTATTCAGTGTTGATTTGAGCCAAGTGAAGAAGCTGAATCTTGCTGCAATACCTGCAAATAAATATCAAAAATAGCCACAGAAACAGGTTGAAAAAATATGATAATAAGTTTAAATTTACTACAGAGAACCTTTTTATTGCGTTCATATTTTAAGTTAGTGCACAAGAAGTGTAGTAGTAGAGCGGGGAGAGAAGCACAGCATCACCTAGACCACCTGTGGAACAAGAGGGTAACACTTGCAGAGCCTCTGCTGAGAAATGTTGTGAGTCAGACTGCTGAGGCATGCTGTAATGTGGTGAGTTTAATGCACAGATGCTGGGTGTCCCATCCAGATATTCTAGAAATCCTAAGCCACAACAGCTGCCAGCCTGCCAGGCAAAAAGACCGCAAGTGAAACTCCCAAGCAATGTGGCTGAGTACATTACTAGGTCAAATAACAACTGAGCGTGGGGCGACCAGATCCAAAAACATATACTGCAAATCAGGAGGCGTTTTAAACATAAAAGATAATGTAAATCATCTAATAATACAAAGTGTGTCTAAACGGAAATGAACTGATGGAAATCACCTGTAGGTAATCCAGGACTTGTTTTCCCGATGTAGAGGAAGAGCAGCAAGGCCACGACTATGTTTGCTACGGCATAAACCCACTGAATAACAAACATGATCAGTATGGAGCTCAATGCCTGCAAGAAAACAAATTATATGTTCACATTAGGCTACTTTATACATTCTGTAAATATCTGAAAAAAAGATGAAAACTAGAAAAAAATAAATAATGCATGAAACCTGTAACCTACCCCGATAAGAGCAACCCAGTGGTTGCAGAACTTTGCATAGACTGAATCCTGCATGGGTTGGATTTCAAAGCTCTGGTGTGCTGGTTTACCTCCAGCACCTGGAAGATTTATTAAAGGGTCAGATTATTAAAAACAGCTACAACAAAACTCCATGATCTCTACTCCTGTCTAGTCTCCTAAAGTCTAGTGTAGTGATGGATGGAGCTGATCACCTGTGCTGTGATTATGATGCTCAGCTGAAGGATCCTGTTCAGCTTGTTGTATTTTGAAACGGCATTTTACTTGTGGTTCTTCTGCAGCTCTGGGCTCTCTGCCTTCACACCGCAACTCAGCTTCCTTAAGCGATGGAGCTGAACTTGTCTCATCTCCTCTCTCTTCCGAGAACATGTTGCTGTTTTGGTCCAAGCCAAAGCTGTCCATCAGCTTCTGCTTAGTGGTAACATTAGCCTTTCTGCCTTTGCATCTACCGCCCAGCTCTTGCATGGAGTTGGACTTCTCAGCCCCAGCATCAACATTTGACGTGGAGGGAAAGATCTGGTCCATGTCCTTGGTGAACTCCAGTAAAGTGCCTTTACCCTGTGAATTCTCGCCTGCACTCCCGTAGTTTGGGAGAGTGGCCTCAATCAGAGGCGTAGAGCTTTGCCTGGTTGACCTACGGTGGTTTATTTTGGCTGGGATGAGGGTGTCCCTTTTCTCTTTAGTCTGCAGCTGGAAGGTCATGGCCACACTGAAGTAGGAGTAGTCGATGAAACTGTAGGTGAGCATGAAGTTGATGCTGACGATGGGGGCCAGCACGTTGACCTGACCGATGAAAATGAAGGCCATGGTCAGCAGGCTGGTCAGACAGATAGCTGCCACCGGAGTCCTGTTTGGGCCTTTCTGTTGGAGAGGGAGAGGGTGTCACAATATGGAAAGTAATGGCTGCACTACATATGAACGTTGTTGGTGTTGTTGAACACAAACCCCCCCCAAAAATTAACGATTAAGTGTTCCTTTATGGCAGAGGTCTCAAACTCATAATGTCTTCGGGCCACTGCTGATATAATCATTTCAAGAACAAGAAAGTGCAATATTCTTAAAATATTTCCATTACTAACATCACACTTAATAAAAAAGTGCAAACATCAGCCAAACAAATGACAGCCCAAAACCCTGCTCTCCTCTTATCAAACCTCTCATAGCATCTGTGGGCCATTGCCATTAACAACAAGTAGCAATGGAATGATTATCCATATGCATACTTGAAACTCGTTTTGTTTTTTCACGACAGTAGTGCTACCTAAAAAAATCTTCCCATGACTTCATCCGGCCTTTCTTTGTTCAGGAGCCCCGAGAAAGTAAGTCACACTATTAACTACCTCAATTTTCTGCCTTCATTATAATTAATTAAATGATAACAATAGGTAGGTAATTTGACTTAGGTAAGAGTTAACTGAATCTGATCATTTAAAAATCATTAAATATAGGTGAAACACCATCTGTAACCAGAGGGCAAAACCAATGTCCCAACAATAATCCCTTTCTCAAAATGGATAAATTGTTTTAACATGTGGTTTGTTATCCAGCTTGCTTTCACTTCCCAGGTCCTATCACACAGTTTAAGGAGCACTGCTGTGTGCCTGGCGGGCCTCCAGAGCACACAGCGGAGCAGGGCCCTGCCCGTCGCCCCCTTCCTGCGTTTGTTCTGAAGCTTTGATTTGGGCCAAGATGTCTAGGGCCTCATTCCAGCCCGCTGAGAGAGGTCAGACACCACTGCCATGCAGGGAAGTCTGAGGAAGAGTGGAGGCGGACGGGGTCAGGACGTCAACCGGACTGTGTGTGTGTGTGGTTGTGTAGCAGCAGTGACTGGTAACTCACTCACTGTAATGCACTCACAGTCCACTCACTTCTATGGAGTGAGTCTGCAGTCTATAGTTAGGCAGTCCTGTCACTGTTTCCTGTTGAGTCCACCCACCACACCCCTGTATACATCCAGGCTACACACACTTATTAGCTTACAACATGCCAATTAGTGCAGGTACAAACTTATAATAGGATTTATCTAATAGTTCAGTGATTACGCAATTTTTAAAAAGATGTATTTTTTTTTCTATGTCAGATAAATTCGCAGATGCCCTTTTTGTGTCTAGATCCCGGGTTATACAGTTATACAATAAGAGCGACATCACATATATGATTATTATTACTCATGCATTAATGTAAAAGCAGGATTTTACTGTTGTAGTTGGTTGAGGTGGAACTAATAGTGAGCTCAGTAGCAGTTTATGATTCATCCAAAGTAATGAAAGGACTTCTCATCCATGCTGACTTATAAGTTCAGCATCAAAGGTTGATGGAATACGGTTGAAAGGTACAAATGAAATGGGGTGTTAACCAGGTTCTAGTGCAATATTGCTTCAATTGGGTTAAGAGCCGATTATCATTCTGCATAAGTAAGTGAATTCACTGGTGCACAAACACACACCCTCATTAAGTAATCTGCATTTACATCATGGTGACCATTGCTAATATTTTTCAGTATACTGCCAATGTCCAGACATCCCTCCCTTTATGGCTTCATCCATCCATTTATCCATCCACTCACCCCTCTTCCCAGAAAGGCCAGAGCGGGGATGACCCTCTCCTGAGCGATGCACTGGAGGATCCTGGGTGCTCCGTACAGGCCGCCCATGCAGGAAGCCAGGGAGGAGATGTAGAGGCCCAGCAGAAAGAGGAAACCCACCAAGGAGACCTGGAGGAAGAAGGAAAACAAACAGAGGGTGGAAGAGGATGGGGTGGGGTTGAGAGCTCACAACAGCTACACCCAGTTGAGTTCCGCTGCAGTCAGCCCCTTATGAAAACAATGACAACTAGCCACTGATGGAGAAGTCAGGGAAAAGACTGGGTTAATACTACAATGATTGTACACACTACTTGTCCACAAAGTAATGTGGTGACAACTGGTCAGTGACCTTGTTCAGTGCTGCAGGTTCTTGCTGCTGTCTTTAGAAGCACCACCAACTACCTGATTCACTGCAGATGGATTAAAAACCAAAGTGACAACTGGCTCAAGAGTTTAGCTGCATCACCCGACATCTTCTTTGATTTGCTCCTCACCACAGCCTAATCACTTTACTGCTGTGAGCAGTGTGCGTGTTATTGTATGTGCATGAATCTAACATTAGCTCGACTGTTCACACAACTAAAACCATCATGCCCAGTCCTTCTAACGTCAGCTATCCATATGGAGCCAAACCCAGGCTTAGTGTGGCTGAGAATTCAGAGTTCAAATGTCACACTTCTTCCCAACAGATATGTAATATACACAGTGTGTGAGACTGTTGGAGCATGATCTGTATAACAGTCCCTCAAAGTAATGAATTAAAGGACCAGTGTGTTGTATTTAGTGGCATCTAGTGGTGAGATTGCAACCAACTGAACTCCCTTGACTCAACCAAGCACAAAGGAGAAAAAAGAAAAAGAGAGAAAGAGGAACTATGGTGGAGGTGAAACTCGCAGAAGACCCTGTCTACAGTCAGTGTTTGCTTTTTCCTTTCTGGGATACAGCAGATACATGGTGGTTCAACGTGGCACGTAGGTCTACTGTACACAAAAGAGACCAAACATGATATCATTTTAAATTGCCACATCCTTGATAAGTGTCACACACTTAAACTTTTCATGTCTATTGATTATTTTCAGTTCAAAGATCAGCCTGTAGGTTCTCTAGTAAGATTGGCAAAAGTATATTTAATACTTTTTTCCCATTACATTTGTTTAAAACATAGAATACTGGGCGCCCGATTTGCTCAGTTGGTAGAGCTGGCAACCCATGTATGGAGTTGCTGCAGCGGCCTGGGTTTGAATCCAACCTGCGGCCCTTTGCTGTGTGTCATCCCCTCTCTCTCTACCCACCTTTCTATCTAAAGCTGTCACTATCCAATAAAGCCAATAAAAGGCCAGAAAATAGTATAATAGTTCGATAGTATCAAAGTACAGTAACAGATCTGCAGTCAGATTTTCAACCTAAGGTTGTACAGATGAAACAATGGGAAAGAATATCAACTGGCACTCATTATGTGTCCAGTGACTTTTTCTGTACAAAGACTGTGTGCAGGTTGTACATTTTTTCAAAAAAAAGTCCTATTTTATTTTTTTATTTTGCCATGGTATTGAAAGAGGTATCAAGTATAATTTTTTTCCTACCTAGAGGACCCGTGTGTGTATTTTTCCAAAGTGGGTCACACTTGTCTACTACCTGGTTGTGTATGAAAATGTGTGCGTGGGTATCCGGAAAGACCCATTATTTTTTACTTGAACTAACCACTACATCAACACAGTGAGCCATCATGGGGAATCCCCCCATCTCAACTCCTTCTCTTGACAAAGCCTCTTTAAATACGGTGGGATGGAAACAGAGAGGAGTTTACCTTTTCTGCTATCAAGAAGTCATAGCGCAGAGCTTCTCTGGTGCAGATGGCCCCAAGGAGGAAGACAAAGACCAGATACAGGAACCACCTGTGGGTGACCAACAGTTAACAACGCAGAAGCATTAACAACTGCTGCTTTCTCACTATTAATAGGAGAATTGTGTCATGGCAGCTCCACTGCCTGATAGGGCCAGGCTGGGAATGTGGGTTTGTTTGTTCTCTCCAACGAAGCCAAAAAAGTTCCCACAAAGAGATTCAACAGCACCACAAAAGTAAAGTCTTGTAGTACCAAATTAAGTCAAATAAATAGATTACTTTTAATTTTCTGACATGTTGGTACTCCAACTTGTGTGGAGAACCAACGTGTGTGCGTGCGTGTGTGTTTGTGTGTGTGGAGGTGTCATCATACGAGGTGAAGACAGCTGCGAGAGTTCCCACAGGGATGTTGTTTTCAGGCCGCTGAAGGTCTGAGCTCATGTTGAATCCTGCCATAACCCCTACACACACACACACACACACACACACACACACACACACACACACACACACACGCACACAGATACACACACACACACACACACACACACACACACACACACACACACACCACAAAAATGTACACAACATACTGTATAATACCAAAAGTATTTTTACACTGCATTATGAAGCTGCAAAGAGGGACAGAGTGTTGAAAAAGGGCAGATAAGATATTCCTGATACATTCTGCGCATATGCTAAGTGTAAGTGTGTTACTTGTTTTTCACACAATATTGGATCAAAAAAAGATGATGGGAGCCACCTCACCTGTAGCAGCAGGGAAAAAGACCCCAAAGACTGTGAAGAAGTTTTCTCCTAGGCTGTAATCTGGCATTGTGTTACTTTTGAGCAGCCCGGCTGAATAACCAATGAAACCATGCTCTGAAAGCGGGGACAACAGCACACAAAGAACATCAACTCTGAGTAAACAGTGAAAAGTATCAACAGTATAAACCTGTCAGCTGCAGCATACTGATACCAGAGCTGATATTGTGAAACTATTCTCAGTATTTCAGAAAACAATCTCACCAAAAGGTCCATTTAGTAATGGTTCTGGATCTTTTGATTACATCATCCGTATGATCTCCAGCCACAGATTAAGTTAGCCAAATTGTCATTGGGAAATGAATTACAACTCTCTACATTCCCTTATAATTTCACACAAAGTTGTTGTACACTTCTTCAGACTGGGGAAAGCAATTCTTTTATTAGGAAGTTTAAATTTATCATGATTTGAGTTCAGAACACACATCACTATTTTTCATCATATCTGGAGCAATATTTATACAAAAAATATAAATATCATGAATTAAATTAATTTATGAGTCAAGGGACATGTTATCAATGACCTGATGCATTTAGCCAATGAAAACATTTTTTTCAGATTACAATTCTTTGAAAAAAATGCAGACTGGTCCAGTCTCATCCAAAAAAATGTTCATATAAGATTGAATGGTGTTTGACTTAATAACAATAAATTCTGTCAAAAAGCAACACTTTTAAATGAACCATTTCTGACTATAGTGCTAGACTGCATGCTGGTTGCTGTATTTACTACCTGCAGCTACTGTATGATTTAACGGTCACCATCACTGGTGTAAAGTGATCATTACTGTGGTGTTTTCATCTGCTTGTTTTAATTTTCTTAGTATTTAGTCACCATCTATTCCCCCAGATGATTATTGGTAAGTTTTTGCAGTGAACTTTTTGGGGAAATTGAGACTAACTGGAGATGTAAACACATCATGTCTGCACCAGAGGACTTTCCTACAGTACCAGACACCAGGTGCTTAAAATATATATATATATATACCATAGGTCTGAAAAATATTGCATTTGAAAAATAAATCAAAATTTGAACAACTGGTGCATGACTGAAGGATGCTATTATCATTTATTTTATATGTTCCTCCTGCTCAAATCTATGCATCTACCATTTTCAGCAATCCAAAAACCAGAGAAATGCATACTAATACCCTTTGTTACTAATTTATTATTGTACCACCTAAACTGGGATCTCAAGTTTGCAATTAGACTGTTACAGGTATTTTCTATAAAAATGTTGCAGCGTGCAGCCTAAAGTCAGGACAGGTCCGTTCAGTCTAGGTTGGTTTGTTGAACGTGCAGGAGGAGAGATTGTTCTGTACTGGTAGGGGGGCCATTTAAAACCACACAATCTGAAGGGCCCGCCTATGTTACAACACCGGACATTTCCCCCTTGGTTATCTTGCGATGGGAAAGAATGTGTTCTCTCAGATTAATGACATGTTTATCCAAAAGGAAGTCACCACCCTTTTCAGAAGCTCAGCAGCTTCCAAGTTTGAGAGAAAGAATGAGAGCGAGCGAGAGAGGGAGACAGAGAGTGAGAAAAGAGAGAGAGAGAGAGAGAGAGAGAGTGAGAAAGCACATTTTTTTTCTTTCAGACAAAAGCCAAAACCATAAGGGCTGGATTAACTAGTTATTCCAAGTGCACATGTTCTCCAGGATAGGAATTTAAAAAGGCTGTGAAAACTGACATCAAATGGGACTAGGAGCCCAAACTCTTGTTCACTCTGTGACCCGGTGATACCGCCCTCTGTCCAAACAATCAGAATCTAACAAATCCAGGGCAGTCAGTGTCCATGTCTGCACCATGGACTCCCCACCCACATTACAACATCATGCTCCAACTTCCAGCCATGCCTGACTCTCCGAGTATTCAGTTTAGGGCGTTCACATATTTATAAGGCAAAACTATTTATATGAACAGAAAATGAATTGTTTAGATACACTGTCAGAGCCTTTGATCTCAAGAAATGTGGGCAAAAAACTGCAAACAAATGTGTTTTTTTAAGTAGCACTTTAGTGAACGTTTCCTATTTTCTGGGACATCTACATGCTCGCATCCATCATGCAATGCTGCTACATAAGGAATGGTCACATTTTGGTGGCTGATATTGTACTTTTGATTAATGCAAAACATAAATCAAGTAATAAATCATGATGCATAATTATGGATTTAGATACCTGGCAGGGTATTATTTAGTTAAAATGAATCCTACCTTTTACCAGCTGCAACGATTAATCCAGTGTTGTGATATATATGATTGAGAAATGGGCCATTCTGCATAATAAGTAACGTAATAAGTACATATTTTGATGCTAAATCTTTTGTACTTTTACTTAAGTAAGAGTTTAAATGGAAAACATTTACTTGTAACAGAGTATTTTTACATTGTGGCTATGCTACTTTTACAATTCCTAAACAACATTGCAAGTGATCAAAATACCAAGTAACACAGCTTAGCCTGGGGCTTTAGGGGCCTCTAGAGGTCTGGGGCCAAGTGACACACTATCGGCTTGGTATTGGGCTGCCTACAAGGCTCTAAGGATGGCAGTGTTACTCTATCAGTTGGTCCACCATTTTGGTCCACACTGAAATATCTCTATCTTTGTACAGACATTCATGGTCCACAGAGAATGAATCCCACTTAGTTTGTGTGAAAGTTCTTGACAACTATTGAATGAAGCCATAAAATTTGGCAGACATTCATGTCCTACACCCTTAATCTTAACCCCTTAATCCCCCTTTAATCTATTGCTATAATCCGGTCAATTCAATTTGTCTAGTACTTTGGGTCAAACACCTGCACAACTGTAAGTGGGCAGGTGCGTGGAGAAGAGGCCGGGCTGCAAGTAGCAAGTGAATTTCCCCGGTATGGGATCAATAACATCTTATCTTAACTGTCATTCCCATCAGCCTCAGTGTTGAGTTCTTATTAGAAAATGTTATATGTACATCAGTACATATTACAAGTGTCATTGTGACCATGTTAGCATACAGATGTTAGCATGTAGCTCAAAGCACTGCTGTGCCTAAGTAATGTACAGCCTCACTTAGCTGCTTGCATGGTCGTAAACCCTTTTTTGTCTACCATATGACCTTAATCTATTAAAAAAAGGGCAGAAATGCATGCATATTTCAGCACATTGTCTAAAGAGCGACAGTAAAGGCAGAGCTTCTTTCTGTACTCAGCATTCCTCGGACACAGGCTGGAATGTGTAGTCAGATTACATGAGTGACTGAGGCCTCTCCCTCCGTCTGACTGACATCTTACTCTCCCACACTAACCAGTATAAAATGCTGTGCATGGAGAACAGGACAGGCTGTGATGTTACAGAGGTGGGGCAGGTCCCACAGGGGCGATTGAGAACTATATATTATAGTGTGGATCACAGGGAGAGATGATGTAGCGGTCTCTGGAGTAGCAGAAAGCCTCAGATCTCAGTTCCGGCGTTCTCCCTTTGTCATTTTCCAAAAATGTGGGTGAGTCTGGTTAACACCCTAAACCCCAGACCCAAAGAGCACATTATGGCTTCCTGTTCTGTGGGGAGCAGGCTTCAACTAAAGGAACCGGGACTGGGTAAGGCGTGTCAGACTGTCAGAGGGTTTTGGGTTTTAATTGTTTGGCTGCAGAGACAATATGTCTCAGACTAAATAATTTACTACTCTCGAATACTACAATTGGGAAACGAACTCTCCTCCCATCAGGGATGATCAAGCACTATTCTGAGCAGTCTTGCGTGTTTTTAAATTCTAACTCCACCTGTCATCAAAACAGCAGGAAGGACTTGTCATAATAAGTCACTTAACAGATCTTTGTTGCTGGGGTAATCAGGAAGCCAGGTCAGTCTACAGGTGAGAGTTCATGTACATATATAATAATACCTAAATCCCCCTACTATATTAACGCAGAGTCGTCAGAATCACATTGTAGACATGGACATAGTGGCTAGGAGTGTATTGACTATAATGCCTCAACTGTAGTGTGGGGGATATGGGATATGATTAACATGGAGCATTATTTGTAAAGACATACAAATATCAAAATTGTTTTAGCTGTTGATGCTCTTAATAATCTTTACTATTCAATTTGTAACAAAACCCCAGTAATTCAGTTTTTCCACTTCAAATATCTTTATTGTAGAGATTAATACGCTACTGAATCTGCGTCAAAAGCAGGGAAATTTAATCTCTTAAAACCTAAGATGATAATGCTAATAAAAAATAATAATGTATACCAAATTGATCAAAAGAGTCCAAGGTGAGATCTTCAAACATCTAATATTTTGCCAAGCCCAACACCCAAATATATTCAGTTCACGATGTCGTAAAACAGAGAAAAGCTGCAAATCCTCAAGTTGAAGGAGCTCGAACCACAGAACGTTTGGCATTTTTGCTTGATCTATTAATTCTTCTAATTGACCAATAGATTAATGATTAATCATCCAGCCCTAAATTTAACCTTATTCAGATCTTAAATACTGACAAGTCAATGTCTTATTTTGTATTAATGACAAATAGCATATTGACAACAAGCCAATATATACTGTAATTATAGTTTTGATAAAGTGCCTCATTTGACTGACGGGTAATACATTAGCTGTGGCAGTGATGTATCATGGTTTTTGAAACCTACCACGGCGTCGGCTTTGCCAAATGTATATAAGGGACGTGTTATCAAACCGTGACCACATGATTTTGGCAGTGGCTGCTTTTCCTTCAGGATGTGCCTCAGTGTTGCGCGCAAACTAATCTGGGCTGTTTTGAACCAGCTAGTGGACCTGCTGGTCCTCTGCCAACCATGAGGTAACCACAACACACACAGCAGCTCTTAATTGGAAAAACCTGGAGGAGCCATTATGGCTGGTTCTCCTACAACTCTTTAGGACTGAAAACTGGCCTCTGCCCTGGCACGTGTACATGTAGTCGACCCCAAGTTGTAACTGGAGTGCTGTCTTGGCCAGGTCTCCCTTGGAAAAGAGATTTCACTTTCGAGGGACAAAATACAAGAGGGCTTGAGCTCCTGACCCCGAGACTGTGCCCTATTGGCTGATGTTAATTGTATAATATTATTAATCAATTGACATAATGAGGAAAAGGTACATTAGCATCAACAGAAAATGTGATACTTTCTCAATAGGCTACTCCTTTTTGTTTTTAAACAAGCTTTGCTGCAGTGGCCATGGGTTCAACTCCGACCCTATGACTCCGTGTCATCCCCTCTCACCTCTCTCTCCCCCCTTCACTGTCACTCTACAGCTGACGCTATCCATTAAGGGCAATAAAATCCCTCCAAAAGAAGCCCTGGCTGTGACAAGGTGTGGTAGGGTAGAAAAGTGGCTCTAATTGTTCTGGTTACATCTGTTTGTAGTTTTTTGTTGTTTTTTTTAAACTTGACTTTCCACATTTCTCTCTGGAAATTTTAATAATAGGTTTTAGATAAATGCATTCTTTATTGTTCTTTCCAAGAAAAGTGTTGCCACAGTCTGTACAAAGTCTCATACGTATACACACAACATTAACACAAGATAGACATCTAAACACAGCACATTTGTACATACATTCAGGTATTTACACATAACAGCTACCGGGGAGTTTTATTGAGTAATGCTATGGCAGAAGGGATGAAACTTCTGCCATAGTGAGCTCATTTACAGGCCAGTGATCTGTATATGCACGCAGATGGGAGCAATATGAAAAATTGATTGAGGGGGTGCCTCGGGTTGTGTGCTTTGATGTGGGCTCTGCGTGTGATGGCTTTGCTGTTAAGGTCTGACAGGTTGGGGTTAGAGAGACCAATAATTTTGGAGGCGCTGTTTGTTCCTATTGGAGGCAGTTAACATGTTAAAGAAACAGGTGGAACAGTAGAGGAGAATGGGTTGTGTAATACTTTCATAAAGCAGCAGCAGAAGGTGGGGGTAAACAGAGCCTTGAGTTTGCGGATGGCAGAGAGTCTTTGTTGGCAGCGTTTGTGAATGTCTGTGGTGTGTTGTTCAAAGCTCAGTTTATTGTCCAGTGTGAGTCCAAGCTATTTGAAGCACTACAGTTAGTCTAATTAAGTCACAATTCTGAGGAATTTTCTATTTAAACCATCATCTAAGCTCAAAAGATTATTCCTCTCAAGTACAGGCTTTTCATTTGTATTTGAAAGATCTAATGATAAACAGGTATGATTTATTAATTTTGATCATCTGCTGATTGTAGTGCAATACACAGAAAGGAAAGGCAATATAGGTAGCAAACCTAAGACATACTGCATAGAAAAAGTCTATTTTCTTCTCTTGCAGTTCCGAAATGTACTATATCTACTTACCTAAATCTGTTTGGATCGCATAAAATCGCATCCTTTCAGATTTTCCTTTCTGGAAAAAAAACTCTGACCTGATCTTAACAACTGAATAATGAATTAATTTCATGAAAACCTGCAAAATTTAGGGTTTCGTCAAGGAATTGTGTGTTTTAACATGGCGTGTTATGTGTCATTTGGCGGTGTGGCAACATCGTCTTGGGAATATAGAATTTGTAGGTGGGGTGAATGCCTCTTATATTGCTCAAGCCCCAGCCCCCCAAAAGGTCTGTGCACGCCCTGCCTCTGCCTACTGTACTATAAAGAAGGCCCGAGGGAGTAGTGAACAAGGACTGGTTTTTGTTGCTGTTGTTTTTAAACAGGCATATGAAGAGTTAAGCTCTATCTTGCAGTAACTAGCCACTGCCCACAGTTGGACAGGTACACTGAGTTGTGGTAAAAGAAGCAAGACAGTTCTCTATTTGATATACTGTATATACATGTGTATTTTTTATAGTGTGTGCTACGTGTTTTCTGAAACACTTCTTTTCCCACTGACAGGACGTTGATAATCAGTGAGAACAGGAAATGTAGGGAAGGACTTCCTGAAGGGCAACAGAAGAATACAATCTACCACAAAAAGGCAACATTTCCTCACCACAGAAGAAAAAAAAGAAAAAAATCTTCTCAATAAACACACTGAAAGTCTCAGACTTAAGCCACAAGAGAAGGAAAATGGCACTTTACAGAAGTTTCTAACAAAACCAACCAGTTACTGAGGACAGAGGCGCTTGTGGTCTAGAAAAGCACATTACAAATTAAAATGTATTATAAAAAACTGTTCTCATTAGAGAAAAAGGCAAACAGACATGACAAAATGGGTAAAATATGTATCAAAGTTGCTACACAGACAGCAGTCTCATAGAGAAGTAAACTGTAGAGAGTCTCAGTAGAACAATACTGACAATAAACAATAAGTGATACCACAGCTACACCTACTGGCCTGAACAGACAGTTACCATTCTAGTCAACCAGCAACAGCACTGTGGAAACAAAGGGAGCCTTGCTGAATTTGACCAAAAAACAATTAAACTAAACACTCCTCATTTCAGTAACTGATGGAAATAAAAAAATGCAAGAGAACTCCAGAGCAACTTATGCTTTTTCATATTCTGCGTTTTTACTTCACTTTGTTTTCCCTGTCCAAAATCTTATGCTCTCCCTCTTATTTTATTTTCTGGATAAATCTTGTTAATCTGAACATTGGTAGCCTTGCTCGCATCAGAGCACTCGTTTCTTTATTGTTCCCTGAACAACCGAGTTAATTTCCTTTTTCTACAGCAGATGTTTTGACTGGTTACATCAGGAAAAGCACAGGGCGATCTAATAACATTAACGAGGACTGCGTTCCAGCAGTGCAGCAATTAATTTATTGATCTGTGTCAAAATGTCTGACGTTTGTTCCACTTTTCTTTTTTTTTTTTTTTTCCTTACATTTTCCCCTGATTCTGTGCTGCACCAAGGTGGTATCTCTCATGGTAGGATGATATTACCTCCACAGTCAGAACTGGAGAATATTCCCAACTTTCCATCTTCACCTCTGTCCCTGACCTGCAGCTGTCCACCCAACCTCTCTCTCTCTCTCTCTCTCTCTCTCTCTCTCTCTCTCTCTCTCTCTCACTCTCACACACACACACACACACACACATATATATACCGTAAACACAATTTAGCTGTGGGTGTTATAACAGGATTATACCGGCTAATTGACGTAGATAGAGTTGTGTATTACTTTCTTTTCTTTGATACAGTAACGGTTGTTGATTTCCTGGAAGTGGTTCTGAACAATAGTGTAAATGCCAAAATAATTGGAATCTGGCTAAATGCTAATTGAGAGGCTTTTACATTAATAAAATTTTGAGGCAAACAGGATTATTATGGCTTGAAAATACTATTACAAGACACTGAATATTGACACAAAACATCAGTACTGACTTAACTCTCCCATGTCTAACCCCCAAAGCCTACCTGGGTCAAGGTGTGTGAAGGTGCCAATGACAAAGTCCAGCGTGGAGACGGCCAGCACAGCCAGCAGCAGCAGCTGGAGTCGGACGATCCACTTAACACCGGCGAGGTTGATTCCAAGCAGTGCCAGCAGCACCACCGCAGACATGCCGCGCACCGCCCACTGGCTCTGTAGACCCAGCACCTCCGCCACTGACTCAGAGAAACCTGTGATGTACATGGCTCCAGCTACGCACTGCAAGGTGGGAGGAAGCAGAGAGAGGAAAATGTAAAAGGTTGCATTAGAAACAAAAAGCTTAAATTAAAAAAACTATTAGTATCAGCCTTCACCTGTCCAAACACATAAAGGAGGCCAACAGTGCCCCCCACCCTGCCACCCAGGACTGTGGAGATCATGGAGTAGATTCCTCCACTCCCAATGCCACAGTGCTCACACACTCCAATCCCCGACATCACCGTCACTAAAGCAACCAGCACGACCAAAGAGACCAGCAGCATCCCGAGCAGCACACCCGTGTTCCCCTGCATGGTGATTGGGAGAAAAAATAACACACAGTCACATATGCACATTTTAAATCTGCAGCATGTAACTTAAATACACTTTATTCAGCTTCTACCACACACATCTACACGCCTAGACTTTCTATAGTATAGAAAGTCTAAGCGTATAGATAATCTATACTGTACCTTAATGCTTTGTATTTAATTCACTGCACATGCATGTAGCTTTTTCTCCAGTATGTCCCCAATGTGTCTCCATCGATACCTTTTTGTTTTACTTCATACGCTGTTCAAGCTGTCAGCTATGTTTAAAAATCATTGTCTTCTCTTGGAGAAAAGTGGGAAATGGGGAGATTTCTACTAAAATCACACTACTATTTGCTACTTAAAAACCCTAACATTTGATTTCAGCTTCAGTATTAAGGATTACTAATGAAGAGGAATGGGGTTCATGCTTGAAAGACCTTCTTGTGAAGTCCCATTAAACCAGGGAAAAGATCAACTCATTATAACTAATGAGAAAGCAAGTCATTTATGATGAGATGCATCATACTCTGGATAGGAAACCCTGTCTCCCACATGACAAACTATATTTTAGCTGTCAGATCCAACCTTAACACATGCAGCAATTAAGATCACAGGGTCTTTTGTAGCTGTGTCCTGTGATGACACATGCACATTAAAGTGTTTGGGATCAACTGACGGGATGACACATACAAGCTTCACAGCCATTATGAGACAAGAGGCTAGATATACTGTAAGTGTAGAAATGAAAATAAACATCATGTTTGCAGTCTCTTCTGTTTCACCCATTGGCCCAGACCTATAATCAACCACAAATGGACTACATTACAATGAGGGAGACAGAAGTCCCACAGACTGAGAGTTTAGCTTTATTGGTGAGTGGGTGGGTAGAGTGCCAGTGGGAACCCTCCAACCACCCACACACTGAACATTTCTGATAAGGAGAGTAATTTCTTTGCTCTTTAAAACTGCACACACATGCACCATTCAAGCACGCCTTTTGGTTTATATGCACCTTTAACTGCATTTCCACACAAACAAAGCACAGCACACAATTTCTTATTACTGGGGGCAAACCATTTAGGAAGACCATCAAAATAAGAATGTAGTCAGTAAGGCTTATCAGATCTGGAACAATTTTCTCATATAAATTCAGATTGCAAAAACTGGGGGTGCAGGGGTTGCTCCAATTAGCTGTGAATTTATATTCAAAATGTGTGTTACCTTCTTTATTTAGTCACCTTCTCCAGGTTCTCTGAATATTTACCATTGCTCATTATTTGGCAGACACTGTGTAAGCAGACATTATTCTAGAAGACTGCACTTTATCAAAAACACAATATGTAAAGTATAACCTACAAATATACAGTCATGGTAATATGATAAGAATATATAAAATAACATTCAGGTTAATTAAAATCTTTCAGGTTTGTATTTTTGTCTTCAATAAACAGATTTTTCTTCACAGTGTGCAATTTTTCTGCCTGGATATGGCTTCAGAAATGGCCATAATAAATAAATAGAATAAGTTTCCTGATATTTACAAGAGAAACTGTGGTAGAGAGAGCAACACAGCGCATGCATACAAACCACCAGGAAGCCGGTACGTAGGAACAGCACCACACCGAAGATGTTGATCATGCAGGTGGTGAAAACTCCATCCCAGGTACCGAAGAGCACCGGCTCCCACACAAACACTTTGATCCTCCACCATGGCTGGCTCGACTGCTGGAAGCGCTGGTCAAGGAAACACAATAGTTAAAGCAATGGCTGGTTTAAAGATGTCAGAAAACCTTATAATATTCATTATGAGATGTCAGAAAAATTATGGTAAATCACTGATTCCCAACCGTTTGCCCCCTTATCTATCATTGAGTAAAGTGACGACCACTGACCGTGACATATTTCATGGCTATTTCATATATTATTCAATATAACAATAACAGTCGAGAACAACTGATAAACTGTACAATGAACTCAAACAGTGAACACAAAAACTGCAGGAAGTTTGTGTAAAATGAGCGATTTGAATGAATTCTGAGCAGATTATTTCCTGTGAATACTGATCAGAGATTAGTTTTCCTGATATTGTTTACTGACTTTTTATACAATTATCTGTATTACGTATTTTATATTTCGTTTTTAACATAATATATTTTTAATAGGCTTCTTTTCTTTTGACAAATTCAGTGTTTTTTTTAGTTAGCTATTTCTATTGGTTGTGAGCTTGTTTATCAGAGAGTGAAGGCTCTGTGAATATAGCCTTGAAAAATAACAATTTCATTTAGTTTTCTAAAAAAATCCTGAGATATAGGCATACTGTGTACAGTAAACTAATAACAGCACAAAGATTAAAATAATAAAAAAAAACAACCCATAGCCTCTGCACTGCAGTTTTTTGGTGCTTTGAAAGAAGGTTGTTTGCTTTAATTCCATTAAAACTCAAAAAGGAAAAAAAATGTCACATGATGGAAGGACAGAAAAGGTCGATTGGATATGATCTGACATATTAACTAATAAACATGAACTAAAATAGGTAAATTAAAACCCACTGACTGGAGAAAAACAAAGAGTGAAGAAGCTTCAGACCCACTAAGCGACACATAATGATAATGATAACGAATAGAGGGGCATTTCAGAGGAAACATTCCACCTGTGCATCTTCATGAAAGAGATCATGGACATGTGTGTTTGTGCTGGTGTCGGGGACTCCCCCATTCAGCAGTCCTGCCCCATCTCCTTCCTGGTCACAGGTGTGCACAGTCCAACCTATTGGCAGGGTTTCCATCGCAACCTACAGGTGCAAACAGTTGCTCCAGGTTAATCATAGAGATTGAATGTCAAACACACAACATGGAAAAAAACAAAAAAACAAAACCCAACTTCGGGTTTGAATCGAACAATAAGTGACCACGTTCATTTGTTCAGTTGAGGGAAGTTATTTGAGTAAACTGACTATCCCGGTTGAACAGCAACAGGTGCGGCAGGAAGACACCCGGATACAGCAGGGTGTGCACCTGACAGACAGCTGATAATGAGGAAAGAGCCAGGTCCACATTTTACTAACAAATGACTTAAACAACAAATCAGTCTCGAAAGTGGTTTACAGTGATATCATTTATTTGCATCAAAGGTCGGGAAACAGATTTTAACAGTTTTACCTCCGTTTGTAGCTATAAATAAACTATTTTGACACTGTCCCTTTAAAAAATAATTAAATTATTACTATGTCAGCATTAAGGCTATGGTATATATGTTATGTACATGTTGAGCAATGGCTGTCCTCTTCACTGGCAAAACTGTCCACGCTCATCGCTACGTACCGTCGCAGCCAAACCTCATTAACAAACGAGTCAATTTAATGTTTCTTAGTGGTGAAAGTAAAGAAAAGCTCCATTAACCTTTTGTGAAGTACTCAGATTCATTCTTAAATAAGGCAATAACCAATACGGCTACTATATGAAATACAGTTGTATTGGAATTTTTTTCTTTTTTTTTTCTAAATTGATTCACACGCACACAAAAAGCGTGGCAGGAGAGTGAAACAAAAAGTGTGTAAAATGTTTATCAGATAAAGTGCTTGTTGGTGGGCTAACGCTATAGAAATCCTAAAATTATTCATATTTAGCAAGGCAAATACTTAAAAAAAACACAGGTATTTAAACAGTGTTTGAGCAAAACTCAACAGTTGGCTGAACATACCTTTCACAGGGTCCCATATCATTCCATGCTGAGAAAAAAAACAAAAACAACCAGAGTAATAATCAGCTATCAGAATGACAGAAGAGTTGATTATTCCATTGTGCCTCAGTGATGGCTCCAGTCAGTGTGAACAGGACTCCCAGCCTCTCCTGCGCTATTCAAGGTGTTTTATGAAAACGTCAGCAGGTAACTTTAGATGATGTGTTGTCACTGGTTGCCTTCCAGGGTGTGTTGCTGATTTGCACAAGGATCCTGTGTTAGTTTTGGCAAGCCCTGCAGTAGGCAAGGTTGACTAATGATTAAAGCTGCAGAATGCCCCTACCACTCAATAGCCTTATCTTTTTTTATTTCTGGAATTCATTCCCAAAATATGTTTGGATCTCAGGTTTTGGGAAAGGAGATTATGTTTTGGGTCTTAAGGCTGATTTGGATGTTTTCTGACTTATTTCTGCCTTCTCCTGTGTGAGGATTTGCTGCTTTTTGCTCTTTATATCACTGTTAAAAAAAGATGAATCGTTACTGAAAATGGCTTTTGCATATCAAAAACAATTCAAGGTCAAATACTGTGAATTATTTTATTTATAAGGACATGACACACAACAATCAAAACAACAATTTAATCAGATTGTTTACAAATCATAATATATTGCAAAAATCTAATCATATTGGGTTACTTGACTGAAATTAATCAGCTACAATTAAAGCTGCACATTATTCATAAAACGAGTTCACTCAACCCAACAAGTTAGAGACCATGCAAATGAACCTTACTGTCTAACTTGAGATCAACCTTACAGTGAAGCAGTAGGGCCTCCTCGTCAAGTTCTTTTTAAAAGTAAGAAAAAAGTCAAAGCTTGGACTCTAGGAGGAGATTCTCATCTGCATTTCAAAGATCTTGACACAAACGACTTGTACGGAGATAAATGAAGGTAGCAATAGTGACTGCATATGATATACTGTACATATCAGTGCCATAAATGACATGTTTCAAAAATAGTTTTTATCAAAAAATTCGTAATTCAGATCTTTTTACACAAAACAAATATTTTTTTCTGTAGCTTATACAAGGACACTTATGGCCAGGTTACTGACAAGAGTTAATTAAAAAGGAGAAAAAAAATACCATGGTACTGCTCATATAATTAATGGGATACAATTTACCAAAGCAGAATCACTCATCTGCACTGTGCTTTCAATAATTGCTTACAATGAAATGAGTAGCTAGTGGATTATTTCAACCACAAAACTTATTTTTGAACTATACTCCACCCAAAATCTATTTTAACTGACATGAATTCAGCTGTTAAGGTTAAATATTTGATTAAAAAAAAAAAAAGAAAACAAAAGATTTCAGGTGGATTATTACATTAAAACCAAATAAACATTTTCTAGGGGAAGGGGCTTTTCATTACCAACAGTTGTATACAGTAAATCCCATCATAATGCACAATCAACTGCATTAACTTACAAAAAGAAAAACCTCTGATAACAGTGTTGAGATATACTGTATATACACATACACACCTCAGAAAGCCACATCGTGTCAGCAAGTGAAATGATTCGTTGTTGAATGTAAGTAATGCTGGAAAACGAATTAATGTGCCTTCCACTGACAAAAAGTGTCTCTTGCACAAGACTTGTCACTCTATAGACACAAAAGATCTAACAGTACTTCTCAGAACATAAAAATATACAATGTATTTACAGCAGAATATTCTCTATAAATTCTAGTGGGAATGATCAATGAAGAAAAATAAAGTGTTCGATGATTAACGTGGGTGCCGTCTGTCCCTGATTGTCAGTAGAGTTGTAACAAGAGGGAGTTTAACATCAATTTTCAAACCTAATTTGATGGCGCATATAAAAACAGTGTTTTACACAATAGCACCTAAGACATCACACATACATGTACACACGGAAAACAAGTGATGAAGCAGAGAGGAGACCTCACTCAATTGCATTTTCTTCAACAAGGCCTGGACAGATGTGGCTTACTAATGAATTCTAGCAAGTAGGTGATAGTTATCAAAACTACAGATATCTGGAACATGATTCTGTACTCATATACATATATTGCAGCAGTCAATGAAAATACCATTTCCTTCTTAAACTTGGTGCTATTTCTTGATACAATTCTAAATAAAATGGGCGAAAAATTAAATAAAGCTCCCAGATCTCAACGTATTACAGACTGAATAGGTTGATAGCTTATGTGTTTTGTTATTATTGTGCAAGTGGAATTAGTAGCCTTAGAGCGCTGACTGAGAAAAAAGAAATACATATACATATACAGGAATGAGTAAAAGAAAAAAGAAAAAGGCACAGATGCAAAACTAATAAAACTGGAAAACCAAGCACCTCATTTCCACATGTACTATCTTTCATAATATAGCCTTAATCAAACTATGACTTTCAATCAATACAAGGGGGTCTAATCACATTGTTGTTTCCCCAAAACCTGTGCATCTTCCAAGAAGAACAATCAGAGTACTGTAAAACTGCAGCTACAGGAGCTACATCATAAGTGACGAAAGCCAAGAGCATTATCTGTAGTTTCACATGAACTAAATCTTACGCGAGGGTCAGTCTCAGAAATCTGATTTGACAAAAAGTTGCCTTTTTAAGTGAAGGTATTATGCAATTCCTCCACTGTGAAAGTACATACTACATTCCCTGTAGTGAAAATGTGCAAATTGTGCAGAAATGAAGCACAATCTTCTTAAGTAATTTCACTACAACTCACCAATACCTCTGAAGGAGAATAAGAATTATCCTGCAACCATTACATGCGTGCAGCTATTTGATACCCAAATCTTTTTTTTTTGGGGGGGGGGGGACTATTAAAACTTTAAATCTAATAGAGCCCAGCCTTTTTATTACACAGCCTACCATGCACTAGAGTCACATTTGTACAAAAACAGTGCCAAGAGATTCAAAGGGAATACATTATTCCACACAATGTAATACAATTTATAAATTAGAATTTCTTTTTTTTTTTTTTTTTTTCACCAACCAAATTAGGCCCAATCTGTCAATGGAAAATAAACTAGATTCCATATCAGAAAAACACAATCGGTTCAATCTTTCCTGTAGCATTCATTACACAGATCATGTAGAAACACCCATTTCAGGTGACAGTAAAGTGACTTCAACATAAAGTGAAGAATCAATTATGACCTAATCATGGTGTCGTTTTCAGCTGGAATAAAAAGGAGTGAACTTTAATTTAACCAGATAGACAGCGAGGGGAGGTAGATGCAGTAAGAGCAAAAAGGCATATATTTTATATATATATATATATATATATAAATAAATAGGGGCCTATATTTTAATAAGTGGAAATGTTGCTTTAAGCAGCGAGAGCGAGTGTTGATTGACAAAACATAAACTTTACGGCAAAGGTATGAAAGAATATTTCACTCTCTCTTGCATTACACTTTGGTCGCTTAATCTCTCAAATGTACATTCTAGAGCAAGAAATATACTAATAACAAATACAGTTTGTTTTTTTTTTTAAAGGGGAAATGCTAATTATGATTGATACGTTTTCAGTATTCCCGTTCTATGAGGTTGCACTTAAAAAATAAAAAAAAACAGAAAAAAAACCCCAAAACATTAGTATGTTTTTTTAAACAAAATGTTTTGAGAAAGAGCACATAGTTGCAATGGGACTTGTTTTGGCAAAACAGGAGACATGAGATAAAGTGCTGCTGAAATTATAAACAGAAATGAATACACCCTCCCCCAGACTCCTTCAGCCAAAGGTTTCACTGGATGAAACATCAGGGGAGGAGTTCAATTGAGACCTGGTCTCAGTGACTCTGACTAAAGGGAACTCTGAGAAGTCTGTGCTGTGTCCTCGGAGACTTAATTGTCCATTGGCAACAGTAAACTGTGACGAGGATCCAGATCTCGATGCCTGGAAATGAGATTTGAAGTTCTGATCGAAGGAGCTTATCTGAAAAGTCTGCAGTATGCCTTGTGAAGAGTCTGTCTTTTTGGAGGGCGAGACCTGCTCCAGAAAGTCCTCCTCAGCTGGGGACACTGCGGAGGGAGGGGTGGTCTCATCACCTGAAAATGAAAATGAGTGCTGGGAGTCCCCGACCAGTAATCCAAAGTGAGGTTTCTCTAAAGTGGACCTTAGCGGAGAGCTCATCCCTGATTTGAACCTGCTGGGGGAAGGAAACTGTTTCTCGGTGGAGAACAGAGGTTGTCCAGCTAAGGTGGGGTTTTCGGAGACCAAGCTGAGGCTTTGACTGGTCAGGTAGCTGTCGTTCTGGCTGGTCCTCTCCAGTGCTTGCTGGAGAAACTTGGAGTACTCTTGCAAGAGGCTGACCTTCTCAGTAGCTGGCTGAGCCTGGGCACTAGAGGCTCCCATACTCTCCACCGGGCTGCTGTCTGAAACATCAGAGGAATTAATAGATATGCTTGACGTCACCTCTGTGTCAGCCACACTGAAGGAAATGTCTGATTGCCCGTTGGCTTTGTTGGAGTAGTGATCCAACAGTGTCTGAAGAACCTCGTCTGGCAGCACATTCTTGTCATGTGACGCTTTAATTTCCGCGTTGATGGGCTGGGGCTCTAGGATGGTGGCGGGGACAGTCTCGTCGATGACAGTTGACACCACAGTTTGTGTAACAGGCGGCTGAGAAGAAATGCTGCTCGTGTTCAGGTTGTAATCCCGAGTGTTGTTGGCCATTGCTGCCTGAAGATAACGCTTCTTCTTGAGAAACTGCATGGCGTCGTCGTAGTTTGTGCTGCTGGCTGCTGGCTTTGCTGGTCCTCCTTGAAGAGTTTCAACTGACTCGAGTTCAGTGTTGCTTTCTACGTCTAAAAGGCCTTGCTTGTCCACGATTTCAAAGGTGTACTGTGTGACCTTAGTATTTTCCTCAAAGGAAGACAAAGTGGACAGGCAGGGGGGAGGCTGCTCATTGGACTGTTTAAGACTCCTCTTGGGGACTTTCTTCAGAACTAGTTTTGGAGGAGTTGTGTCTTCTGTTGACACTTCTCCCTCTTGGTGTTGGCTACCCGTTTCTTCAGGAAGTTCCACAGAGTAGCCTGCAATCACATACTCGTGTTTTACTTTGGAGGACACAGCATAGAGAGGTAGACCGTCAATTTTATTCTGTCTCTGCTCGTCCTTCTCCTCCGTTTCTACGACAGCGACAGTGTGCCCTTCTGTCTGGGGAGCAGTGGAAGCGCCTGAACTCTTATCTGCACACTTTTGGCGCTTTTTCTTGGGCAGCGAGCACTCTTTGGCGAGAAAGGGGAGGCCTAAAGAATCTGCTTCGCGCAAAGGCCCAACTTTACCAGCTGCCTTGTTGGCCTTTCTCTCTCTGTTCTCATGACACATTCGTCTGTGCTTCAAAACCCGGTCTGTTCTGGAGAAGTACTGTGGATAGAGGACAAAATACATTTATTCTACTGTACTTATTTACACACTGGCTTTGGCTAGTATTTTCATCCGTTCACTCTGTATGTTCTGTGTTTACATCCTGACACATATAAAGACCACTAATATGAGCACCACTTCTAAATACCTGTTTTTCCACTATATTCAAAAGACCTTTTCACAGGAGCCATTTTGACATGAAAATAGTAGGCTAAACACAGGTGTTACCAATGGTAGTAATTAGGGTAACGTTCCATTCAGATCAAACAGAGCCAAGGTGCTGCTATTGTGTTGCGTGTTGGCTCAAGGAAAAACTGTGACTACACTAAACGGGACGGAACCTTAATTAGTATTGTTGGTACCACCTGCGATTACCCTACATAGAGACCGTAATACCCAAAGTTTTAGCACATATACACTGGCTAAGAGTAGTGTTGCTTTCGTCAACGAAAATTATGACTAAATATCGTCGTCAACAACCCATTATCACCAGACGGAAAAAAAAACGAAGCCAAAAAAAAAAGGGGTGATATAAAAAAAAAAAAAAAAAAAAAAAAAAAAAAAATAATTTTAAAAAAAAAAAAAAAAAAAAAAAATTTTTAAAAAAAAAAAAAAAAAAAAAAAAAATATTTTTTTTTTTTTTAAAAAAAAAAAAAAAAAAAAAAAAAAAAAAAAAAATTATATATATAAGACCCCCACCCCGCCCACACAAAAAACGGTCAACGAACCTTTATCACGTGACGGAAACGAGACCGTAACTGGTTTGTTTTTTGATTTTTTATTTATTTTATTTAAATTTTTTTTTTTTAAAAAAAAATTTTATAATTAAATTAAAATGTCTATACTATACTAGGTACTTGTACTATATTAACTGGGTTAAATAGAATTGCATTTCTAAAAAGAGACTAAAATACAATTTTCATTGACTAAAACTAGACGGAAATAGTCTTGGATAATTCTGACTGAAATAAGTCTAAAATGCTCAGACTTTTAGTCGACTGAAACTTGACTAGACTAAAAAGAGTATAAACGTGACTAAAACTAATAAAAACTAAAATGACAGTTTGACACAAAGACTAGACTAAAACTAAAATTAAGACAGGCTGCCAAAAACAACACTAGCTAAGAGTAAGATTTAGTATCAGAATCAGAAATACTTTGTTGATCCCTGGGGGAAAATTTGTTTGTCTGTTTTTGTGTGTATGTAAAGCACTTTTGTAAACATTGTTTTTTAAACAGTGCTATACAAATAAAGTTATTACTATTTGATGTCAAAGTGGCTGCTATGACAAAGGTCTATTGTCTCACTGCTTGCAGATGCACTATTAACAAGCTAGCAGACAAGCAAACAAAAACAGAGCTTACCTGGTGACAGTAGTCACATTGGTAGGGCTTCTCTCCACTGTGAGTCCTTTTGTGTCTCTCCATGTGGTACTTCTGGATGAACCTCATCCCACACTCATCACAACGAAAAGGCTTTTCACCTAAAGAAAAACACGAGAAAAAGAAAAAAGAAAAAGACAAGCTGACTCACGTGAAATTAAAACGACAAATAAAATCCAACTGCATGCTGACTGCTGTTCATTCTTCACTCACCAGTGTGGATTTTCTCGTGTCTCTGGAGAAGATATTTCTGAATGAAGCGCATATCGCACTGGCTGCACTGAAATGGCTTCTCACCTGGAGTTTGAATAATACACATAAACACTATTACATAAATAACAACCAGCATCCACTGTCAACATCTAATTTCAAAGCAATTATTATAAATACAATAGCATTTTCAAACATGACTGAGTAATTCCTACCAGTGTGAATGAAGACATGCCTCTGTAGATGGTAGTTGGTTCTGAATGCAGCATTACAGTGCACACAGACGTGACACTTGGGGTTTTGTATACCCAATGATCCATCATCATTGATGCTGAGAATCTACAACAGCAAAGGGAACAAAGACAAATACTATTGTTATTCTACTCCTCCAGCCGTCACTGTGGAAAATTCTCACACACAAGCAATAGAAATTTGATTTCCAAAATAAAACTGACTTGCACCTTTGCTGGTGAACGCTGCTTCCTTTTTTTCTTCTTGGGACACACCATCAGGTCCTTAACTCCTTTTTTGTCCTTCTTTATCTGGGCCGATGGCTCAGACTGCTTCAGTTCCTGCTTGATGCTCAACTGTAAAAGTAGGACCATAGATAGGCAAGACATTTAACAAGGCACATGACCTACTTTAAAGCCCACCCACACATCCAGCAGCTTATCCGGGTCAGACAGGTGCAATAGGGCAAGCAGAGGATAATCTACCAATGTGAGGGGACCTCACCATGAAGCAGCTGCTTCCCCACATTCTAAGAAGCCAGTTGATGTGGTTCAAGCATCCTCTGAGGATGACCCCCTGCTGAAGGCAAAATACATCAGAGAAAAACCTCAGGCCCTAGAAAGTCTTCCAGGAGCATCTCCAGATCTCACATCTGACATATTTTAAATTATGCTGCCACATTCTAAGAATTAGGAAAATAACTTGGTGAGTACAAAGTTTTTCTTACAGGCAGAAACTATAGAAATTAGATCCAAGTTGTAATAAACAGGACTTTAAGCCTGATTCTGTGGATCAGTTCAGGTTATCCTTGATGTTTACACTCAGAGTAAGAGGTTGTCTCTTAAATTCACACATGCTGTGTCTTTATTCTTTTGTAATGCAAAAGACTTAAAAGCACAATCATTTCAGCTACTGCCTTTCTCACTGTGAAAGCTCCTCCTCCTTTTGTATTCTGAGTGCGAACCAGGTACACAAGTGTGAGTGAGGCGATCCCTTACTACAACATATTATCCTCATTGTTTAAGAATGTTATATTTAATGATGTTCTGTGGGGCTTTCTACTTCTAATATTTATGTCATACACTTTATATCACGTTCCTTAACTACAATGTTAAATACAGTATTCCATTTCAGACCACTTTTTTACGTAAAACTTTGGCATTGTGTTGCAAACCGGCACTAAGCCAGCTCATGAGTATCAACAGTAGTTAAGTGGGCCAAGGGTGGTTTTCATATATGTGTCAATACCTCTGTAAATCTTCAGTGCTGCAAGAACTGATGTCCTTGCATGAGATGACATGAAAGGAAACTCACTATGAGGGCATGGAGACCGTACATACAGTATCCACACATATAATCTTATCTATACATGGACTCCTTTCTTAACCAGCATGAACTCACTGGCATATGAAGCAAGCAGGGAAACTTATTGGTGAGTTTTAGGGGGAAATGCACTCCCACCTCGCCTCCTCCCTCCTCTTCTCCTCCTCCTCCTCCTCCTCCACCATTCTTTGTCATCTCCTCCTGCATCATCAGCTGCTCCGGAGGGACCAGGTCATGTGTAACCAGCGAGCTCCCAGTCAAGTCCTCATCTTCGTCTTCGTCGTCATCGTCCTCGGCCAGCAGAGGGTGGTTTGCCAGCGAGCGTTCCCCAAGAGTCATCACCACCAGTCCACCTCCGCTGACCAGCCCGACCCTCCCTCCTCCATCTATTCCTCCACTGCTGCACTTCAGCAGCATACCCTCCAGCTTGTCCTCAGTGTTCATCTTACATAGAGTAGTTCTTGAGTCTGTGAAAAGACAGAAATAGAGAGATGACTGGACAATGTCGGCACGCTGAAATGTTTTAGTTTGACATGAGAAGGTGGATGTGGAATCACACGCAATAAAAACATCAAGGCATAACGAAAGTCAAAATAAGTATTTCCGCTGTGTCTCTTGTTGTAAAGATAACAAAGATGGAGCAGTCAAAGATGCAACTAAGATGATAAGCACACTGCAAATTGTGATGGTTACTGATTACTTTAATGTGCAAAGGTCACTTTTTAATTCCTGGCATCACAAAACCTAAAGGCACAGGTACCCACGTTGGTAATGAACCCCGGCAGGAGCAAGTCAACAACACTAGCTCTACTCTAGTTGACGTGCACCCCCCCAACCAACCCCATGAAAGTTGTCTTTAAGATACTCATACTGTTAAAATATAAATACACGTATTCCCGTTCAGTAACTCACAAATTGCACATACAGTACTAGCTCTTGGATAGATAGATATACTTTATTGATCCCAAGCTGGGAAACTGCAATCAATAAGAATATGGCTTGTAATCTTACAAAAAAAGTTGTAAAGACTTCCACATCTAACGCTACTGCACAAACAATGCCTCTTCTCAGTAAAGTGTCAACTTTTTGTAACTGGGTCAGCTGTTGTTTCTGTAATCTTATCTCACAAAATGTGCTATACAGTGTAAAGTGATAGCAGGCACTGTGGCACCACTCAGAAGGTTGAAAATCAATTTAAAGAAATGTGCTTTTAACCCGAAACATTGAAGTCTGTTTATGTAACTTAACTTAATGTAACGTTAAGTCAGGCAAGCTTGTTTTATTTATAATATTTCCCCTCAAAGACGGCAGTGTACGCTGACAACAACACACAAACGCAACCGAAAGTGCAGTAAGAAAACCAGCTACACGTTTTCTTTCTACTGCAACACTACACTGATGTCGCGTTTGCTCTTCGACAAGACAAAATTTAGTAAACTCGCAAATCACTTGATCTCAAAACGGCATCGCTAGCTTAACGTAGCACCAGTGGGCCGTTTGGTAACACTGTTCTGGTATACACTGACCCAGCAGGCAGCAACGCAAGGTAAGTAGCTGTCACAGTTTAGAAACACAACAACAACAACCACTCAGCCCCACATGTAAACACACTCACTGTGTCACTTAGGTTAAGTGGGTTAAAAGTCTCTTGCTAGCCAGCTAGCTAGCCGCGGTTGTCACATCCATGTTCGCGTCACATTTACGACCGTTGCTGAAGGCGGGCAGGGAGAGAGAGAGTGCGACCGCGCCTTCAAAATAAAGCTCGTTCACGGGTTTTAAAATCCAACACGCCGTCAACTAGTGCGAGAAACTGTCCACATTAACGTGTGTTTGTGAGTATAACTGCCCTAAACAACCCGTATCGACTAAACATACGCGTGGTCTTCACTACTAACCATCCTCAGCGGCATTATCTCGAATGAATTTACTGAAATGTTTTACTCTGGCAGCAGCGACCGGAAGTTCTCTTTCACTTACTCCCACTTGACGTGTAGGTCTACGGCCTGTCTGGAAGCTAGGTAGCTTAGCCGCTAGCAAGTTGCTGCAAACATTCGTCCGTCTCTCTGCTGCTGTCACAATAAAAGGATGAAACCGCATCCTCGTGGTTCTGTAGACAGGTCTGCTCACACGCAGCGTCCAACAATAAAACTCTGAGCTCACAACAAGCGACACACGTGGCATTAAAACCCCACTTTCGTTTGCACATTTGCCCCAAACTTGTCAGCAAGGGCTTAGCGCCTCAAGCCTCCTCCAATAGGCCCCCTGTGTTATTGCCTGCTAGTAAAGCACACGCTCGCTCCCTAACACAAACAATAACAACCGTCTCAGCGGCGCACAGGTGATATGTCAACCGTGAAAAGCTGCATAGTTTTCTCTTACCTGCTATGCGTCTTAAACCCGTATAGCTATCATGATTGTTATGCAAGACTACAGAGTCCTGATGGTGTGCGGAATAATCAAACACACCATCACGTTTCATGGGAGGCAGGAACATTTCTATTTGTCGCCATCTAGTGGTTGTCATTGGTTGGTGAGGAGCCGTGCGCTTCAGTGTGGCGACCTACTTCTAATGAATGATCTTTAATATTAATAATACTAATACTAATACTAATAATAATAATAATAATAATAATAATAATAATAATAATAATGCCTTAATAGTTGTCATCAGTCAGCTTTTTTATATTTTTTTAATTAGTCGCTCAAAAATATGTATGGTTAAATGTACGGATAATGCATTCTATTAATAACTTGCACACTGGCTAAATATGATTTGTGGCCATCTGATTGAATCGAGGCGGAAATCAAGCACGATCCTATTAGTGGGTTAGAGGCTACATGAAAAAACAGTTTCATGCAGTCATGTCTTTACATGTAATGAGGTGTATTTCCGGATGAAGAGGCTATAAAACTATAAACAACGCTGATTTTCCTTATTTTGCTGGGTAGTAATGACCGTGTAAATTACACAAGTGCTGTTGTATGTTTGGTATAATATATTCCTTAAAATAAAACAAAACTCTGAACAGCCTTTTCAGTTATCTGCTGCTTGAAAATCTGCATTACTGTGACTTAATAATAGTTTTCCATGCCATTTTTAGACCACCTTCCCTTTCATTATGGGATTATTATGGGATTAGTTCTTTTATGAAAGGGTGCGTTAAGGCAACAGTAGCTATAAGTACCAACCCTATAAGAATAATGTAAAATAGCAGTAAAGGGCGGATTAAGTGGAAACGGGTTTAATGCAATAACCATCTGTATTCACCTATTAATCCTTCGACTGACAGCTTAAGTGATGTTGAGGGTCGTGATAAGATGATAGCCTGTCATGCTGAGCCATCTCACACACACACACACACACACACTCTCTCTCTCTCTCTCTCTCTCTCTCTCTCACACACACACACAGACACACACACCACACTCTGCTGTGAGGAATACTAATCAACCTGTTTGCCTACAAGTACAGCAGCTCGGCGCGCAACTTAGGACTTCTCCATTCTGTGTCTAGAAACGTCTCTGCTGGACTTAATTTAAACCTCTACCTGCTGAATTTTTTTTTATTAGTGCAACCTTCTTTGAACGAACCGCGGCTGTTATCACTCCTGTCTCTGTCTCCTCTGATGTGCGACAGGCAGCCGGAGAGAGTGGATCTGGGGACAGACAGGCTACTCCTGCGCCGCGTCTAGCAAGGGAAGTCCCCCACGCGTTGCGCGCCTGGATCGCCGGTATAAATTCGCGTCTCGGAGTGCGTGTGCATGTGCGCCAGGCTCTTGATGTGTGTGTCCGCGCACGCCAAAGCCCCGGGCTCCGTCCTCAACAGTTGCTACCGGAGCGGCGGAGAGGAGAGGTGGAGAGCGAGAGAGATAGCAGACTGAGGACGGACGGACGCGGAGCCCCACGCCGCTCTGCCCGGCTCTGCTCCTGACATGCAGTCGCTCATCTCTCCGGTGACCAAGGCCATCCTAGTTGCACTCTTCATCTTCGCCATACTCCTCATCCTCTATGTGATCCTTTGGTACATTTGCAGAGACGTGGACTGCGATCACGGCATTTGAGGATTCCGTTAAAACGGGAATAACGGGAATTTCACAATGGGGCGCACAGAGGAGCCCGCAGAGCCCAGGGTCATCCCGTAAGTCTGATGTCTTCCTTTTTGTCTCGTCTTTCTTGTTGTGTATGCGTGTTTGTAGGTTATCTCTCTCTCTCTCTCTGTGCGTGTGTGTGTGTGTGTGTGTGTGTGTGTGTGTGTGTGTCTCTCTCTCTCTCTCTCTATCTTTCTTTCTCTGTGTGTGTGTACACTCGTGCATTCCCGTCGTGCGTAATGTTAAATGCGCTCTGGTTGGAAGGTGATGGCCGAAGTGCCTCTCCACCGGCACCCGGTATCCCAAACCCCTGAATGAGCAGAGCCCCAAATTCCTTTCTGTCCAACTTGACAGCGATCATCTATCAATGCTGGCTTATGTATCACAGACCCGGTGCTGTTACTGACAGTGAATCCTCAAAGGTGATACAATGTCATCAGGAAGGATATCGAACTGGTGTCAAACGGAAGACGGTGCGGGCGCGCGTGTGTGGGCTCTAATAGAGAACGAGGACCTCCGGTGACATTGCGGTAAACGGCGTGGGTGTCCCTTAAGGTCAAGAACAACAGTGTTTACACCAGGTTGCCAATATTGTTTTTGTCCCCCTTCATCCTCCTCCCGTATATCTGCAGCATTAGTTCATGTTCAGTTCATCTTGCTCTCCGAGGATGCTTCCACATTGGCATTTTACATCCAACGAGATAACAGGATTATCTCTATTGGCTCCTTTGCGTCTTATTCCTAATCTGCCTTGTGCCATGTTTTGGACTCCTTATCATGAATACCCCACTAATGCTTTTACGCATTGCACGTTTATATTCCCCTTGACATCACTGAGCTTGTTCAACATGCTATGTCCAATCTTAGTTTAGAAGGATGCTCTTATATTTACTTTTTACACACACACACACACACACACGCACACACACACACGCGCGCGCGGAGCATCTATTGGCCACGCTTAACGAAGGACTTCTCAATATTGCAGGCACGTTGGCCGCCAATCTCTACATGCTGTCACATGGCCCACAAAGCTATTAAACATGTGAGGTATGATTGCCATTTTTCATCTTGGTCCAAAGCATTTTGTTTTCATCTCCAGCAACCCTCGAACCAGAAGAATTAACACACTGTTGGCAAGTTTAAGTGGATAATGTGAAGGACACGCCAAGGACATGTTGCCTTTTAAGGGTTTTTAGGACATTTAAGCAGGAATACAGTGATAGGGATTCAAACCAAAACACAGTTTTTCATTTGCAGAAAGGAGTTTACTCATATTTTTTGTTTCCTGTAAATCTTTATGATATAAATTTACATTACACATCTTGATGTAACACAAGGATCGCCTTTTAACAGGGGAAAAGCAGGACACACTCCCTGATAAAATATAAATGATTGGTAATCACTGACTTCAGCTCGCACTGTAGTTTAGCCACCCTTTTATAAAACGCTACATCACTTTTTTTGCCTGTAAATACCAGAGGATTTAAACAACTAAGCATCTCCCCCACTTTGCGAGATAAGTGCAAGTTTAAGATTAAAAAATTAAAACCTTCTTATTTTGAGCAATGGGTTCCACACTCTAGTATTTAAAAATCCATAAGAAGCCTAAATGCTGGATGCAGCCATGAGGAAGGAACCCCGCAGCCTCCTAAACTGTTGTGTGTACTCTCCCGCAGAGAAAAGGAGGGAGTCTGGTTGGTAGATGCCCTCTTTGACCGGACTACAAAATGATTCCTGTCAGCCGTGAGTAGATATGTGCAAATAGCATGTGTCACCCCTCAACACACACACGCACACACACACACACACACACACACACACGCACAGACACTAAATGACAGATCAGACTCTATCAGCCCCAGTAATGACATAAAAAGAGAGAGAGAGAGAGAGAGGGAGAAAGACAGAGAGAGATAGAGAGAGCTAAAAAGGTATATTACAACTGCTTCAACTGTTGGTGTCTGTCTGTTTAAACCAGTGCCCTGGATTGTCTGTGTGTGTGTGCAAGTGTATGTGTGTGTGTGTGTGTGTGTGTGTGTATGTTAAGGTGGAAAGAAGGGAAAAAGAGGTGAGTGGCTGTGTATGTTTGTGCAGTTTGTTAAAGAAGAATGACTGTGAGTGTGTGCGCGTGTGTGTGTGTGTGCCAGCGTGGGAGGGGGTTAAACACTGACATGCTCCAGAATGACAGATGAAAAAAAAAAAGTGGAGCAGGGAAGGCTCAGTGGGACTCAGCATGGGAGACAGGTGTGTGTGTGTGTGTGTGTGTGTGTGTGTGTGTGTGTGTGTGTGTGTGTGTGTGTGTGTGTGTGTGTGCTATTGAGCATGACTGAAATTCACTCAAGTTTATTGAAAATGTTTTCCTTCATTAAATACATGTGTAAACTGCAGTAATGCAGTGTACTAACAATGGTGTAATGGTATATGAAGGGTGTGAAAAAAACAAAAACAATTACACACATCAAGGACTGTTTCAAAATGAGGATTTTACCATATTCTTTTCCAAGCATGTCTTCTGGTTTTCACTTTATCTTCTTTTTGTTTTTATCATAACTCGTGTGTGATACAGGTAATTTATCCCACAAACACAAGTTAGTAACAGCAGTTGTGATGCTATATGGGAGGCAGACAGGCACTGACAGAAGGGTCTCTTGTCATAAAACATTTGGGGATAGAAAAGATAAAATATTGAAGCTTTAGGTTGGGTTTGTTAACGTATTCTGGCCTCAGAATATTTATAAACTATATATGACAAAGTGTGTGTTTCCATCAGCCATGCATACTCACAAATAATTTATAGTGCACAGAGAAGCTACACCCCCCCATGCTGATACATTCCACAGTCCTATACAATACTGCCTTTGTATAGAAATAATAAGAGAAGTTTCCCCATCACTGAACTATAAATGCGACTGTAAAGGTCAGGATTTTCTATTTGGGTTGCTGAGCTGTGGCGTTTAAGGTCACAGAGCAGAAGCTGCATCCACAACTGATGGTAAAAGAAACACATTTAATAACACTATTGTTTGGCATTCGCTGTGAATAATTTAAGTATATTTACATTTTCAATATTTGTCCTTCAAGTGTTGAACAGCTTCAAATACTATTTAGCATAGTGTTGATCAATTCAGTTACAAATGTTGTAGACCTCGATCTTTACGCAAGAATATACAACTTCTAGTCACCAAGTTTATTAAAATATCACATCCTATTTATCGATAATACAAAAACAAACAAACAAAAAAGACTGTTAATACATAACAATATAGTTTCTGGATATCCGTAAAATCTTTTCTTTCTTGGAGGTCAGAGGTCAGGTTTAACAACAGACTAGTACCACTGGAGCAAGAGTCAGCGTCCTGTTCAAAGACACTTCAGTAATGGATAAATCATGGATACTTAACAGTACAGGGACTTGAACATGGCTTATTGGTCTAAAGGATTATCGCTGTACTGTATGTAACATGTGCTGATTAAACAGTGTTAAACAATAGTTAAACAATATTCATTGGACTCCCAGTAGGTTGCAGTTCCCTAAAAGATACACCAAGAATAATAAAGCTCAAATACACTTGTTTATTTAATATTGTTCAAGATTGTATTTTTAACTCCTTCCTCTCTCCTTTACATGATTTGGATAACATAATGGGTAATTTAGGATTTTAGAACCATAACTATTATCTTTTTTTTTTAGACAGTTACAATACTATTACAACTATTACAGCATACTTGATTTGACTATTGAACAATCTGCTCTTTAAGTAAAATCAATAGTAAATGGACTTGAACTGAAGTTACATTATTAATATTCTTTTTGATTTTTTTTTTTGTGTGTAGTTTTTGTGGTGTGTGTATTTCAAAGGAATTCTAGTGACTACATTCATTCTCCTAGACCAGGGGTAGGCAATCTGCGGCTCTTTAGCTCCTATCCATTGGCTCCCTGTGGCTTAAAAAAAAAACATTATATGGAAATGAACGACGGTTATGTTTTAACATTTTCATATATCAGGTTTTAGGCCTACAGCGATTCTTACATTCTCCAACTATAAAAATGTGCAGCCATTACATGCCAGATGTTTTAACGTTTAGTCAACCTTTTACTCGGTAATTTGCCAAACCTCAATAGTGGTAGCTACTCACCCACTAGTCTCTAAAGTCTTTTTATTTGAATTTTTTGGCTATAAATCTGATAGTAAAAGTTACCGCTGTCCTAGACCCTAATCCTAACCTCACAGCTGTGTGGTCATTGAAGTGAATTGTATTTAATTCATTGAATTTACATTTATACATATTGAAATCTGTTAATTATTCCCTTGAGGTTCTTTGATCCAGTCTGTTAGTTAGCAGGATATCTCAAAAACGTGTTCTGGCTGTAATGAAGTCTTACAGACACTTAGGCGATGGGCCAGGGAATAAGTGACTAGTATTTGGAACATATCCAGGAATTTTATAAAGGCTTTCTTAACATTGTGATATAAGGCATTTGTTTAGTATTTCAAACTTCACATGAACTGCACTGGGGCACGTATCCCATGGTTGGTTGTCCCTGTTTGTATTCTAATGTATATCCAGAAGCAGATTAAAATATATAAATATTTTCTGTTATTAATATAACACATTCAGATTGTTCAACCACAGTGGAGGTATTCCTCAGTGCTTGCTCGGCAGCAGATTTGTTCAGAAACAGTGTCGCCATCACAGAGTTTGTCCACAAGAGAGCAACTGAACAATGTCCTGCTCAGTACATATCTAGGTCATAATTCCTTGATAATTAATTTAAGGGATAAAAAATTAAAAGTGTTTGTTTCTGCAGTGTGTAAATGTAAATCAGTTTAACTCTAAAATATGAATAATGGTATCAACCTCAAAAATCCTTAGACTCTACTCACCTCAACAAGTGGAAAGTAAAGACAGATGAATGTAAAGACTGCCTTCTGGGCGGACAAACTGCATTGTAAGTGTGCCACCTTTTTCTAATTCAATACTCATATTTTTGAGGTTGAGCACCCAGTTGTTGTTTTTTTCTCTGGTGCGCACGCTTGTTTGTGGATTTATGCCCCGTTATTCATTCACTACCAATAACACTACATGCCTGTTGCACCTCAGCCCCCTTGTCTCTCACCTCTCCTCTCCTATCAGCTCTCCCTACGCTGTCATAAAGGCGCACAATTACCCCAAAACATACTTAAAAAAGCGCTACATCCTTATCCTCCCTTAACCTAATCCCTATCTAACCTTAACCTGAAAACCAAGCCTGAGCCTTCAAGCAGTGCCTGGCCAGGACGACCTGACGTCACAAATATGTCCTCATTCTGAAGGTCTAAAACTCAAATTGGCTCTCAGAAAGATAGAAGCACTGCAACACACACACACACACACACACACACACACACACACACACACACACACACACACACACACACCTCAAAGCCATAAAAATAGATTGTGAGTGACTCAGCCGTTATGTAAAGTCCATCTCTGATAGGGCCGCCTGGGGCTGTTTATGTCAGTTTAGCTTGACGGCAGTGAAGCTGAGGTGACACGTGTCTGCTGTGTCCGAGCTTCAATACACACACACACACATCCAAAACACGCACGCACTTTTCCCAGAATATGCGTGCAAGCGGCTGCCCCTTTCGCTCTTCCTTCCGTTTTCTTCTTCCAAGTCCCTACATTCCCCAGTGTTTGACCCCTAACGGACAAAGATGTGATACCGTCAGCGTAATGGACTCCCTCCAGCCCAAACAGCTCACATTATTAGCATTTCAGCGCAGACTGTGAGGGAAACACCACGTTAGACATGAATCACATCTGCCATCCCTCTGGCCAGGTGGACAGTTCGATCAATATGGGTAAACATGAGGAAACCAGGACTTGAATCTAGAACAATACAGTGAAGCTTGCTGTTGTCTTCAGATGTTGTCCTGTCTTTATCAACCACTTCTCATGAACCAGATGTGACACAGGGTGTTTGATTATATATTTATCATCTGCTCATGTTTCCTATGGGAAAACGGTAACATGTATGAATTATAATGAGAGTTATTAATCATCTTTCGTGCGGGTATGTTCTTCTCCTTATTAACCGCTGTATGAATAGAGACCTTTATCGTCCCATAGTGGTCTTAATGCTGGTTCAGAGGCTTTTCGATCCTCACTAGAATGAAATTCACAGGGGAAGAATACAGAGTGTTAATTAATTAAATTTGAAAATGGTCTCATTTAAATATGTAAATTTAGGCAAAAGTGTTTTTTGCCACCCAATAACCCACACTGGTCCAGCCCTCATCTAATGTGTGTGTTGGATGAAGGTAATATTAGTGGAGACAGTACTTTGTATTAAATGCTACCACAAATAATCGGAGGCGGCATCCAATTCAGACGAGTGATATCTGATTTAATTTTCTTTTAAAGAAATTGTACACCACAAACAAAATGTGGTAGTGTGGTGTGTGTGTGTGTGTGTGTGTGTGTGTGTCTATGCGACTGCATGCCTGAGCTGAGGCATTGTTGTTGTCGGGTTAAATGTAAGGGTAGGTGAAGGGCTTGAAGTCAAGGAAGCAAAACACACACACACACAACACACCGCTGCAAAGTCTCTCCCTGTGCACATAGCCCTGCAGTGGGAGACAGAAAGTGAGCGAGCAAAAGACGCAAGAGTCTGTCTGACAACAGGTTTCAGACAGAGGAGGCACACACACTAAAACACAGACTGTTAAATTAAATGTGCTAAATACTGTGTGTGT